TGATTCTTATATAACAATTTCAACAGTACTTAATTACTTGCAAAGTGAAGAGGGACTTCCGGAGATTGTTAAAAAGGTGCTGGATAAATGAAAGGTCTTATAGTGTCAAAGAAATTTTCCAAAGGGTTACAGCTGCTTTCTTTGATTCGGAAACAGGCAATTTCAAAGTTTTCTCATAAGGCAAGGGTTTCTCTTTTGAAATATCATCTCTGAATTGATACTTAAGGTTAATACACAGTTGCTAATAAATCATTAAGATAATGACTAGAAAGCACTATGACTTTATCAGGACTTTGCAAAGCCACCTTGTTCCATGACAGAATAAAGTTCACCAAATATTTTCTTCCTGGTCCCGACATTTCAATGTGGACCATGAACCTTTTCCCTGACACCAGGATAGAAAACATACCAGGTACTGAGGAGAAGAGATTACTTAAGAAGGCAAGTTTCACTGTGAAACTTTGAGGGAAGGTGGTGGTGCAGTGATAATGTCACTGAACTGGCAAGAGCCCTGGCCTAATACTCTTGGGGGCATGGGTTTGATCCCATCATGGTGGTAAAATTGTCATTTGTTAAAAAAAAAATCTGGAACGAAAAAGAACTACTCTGATGGGAACCCCATACCTAGTGTTGTAAAACCCCGTTTGGTTCACTCATGCCTTTTAGAGAAGGAAATTTGCCATTCTTAGCTGGTCTGACCGACATGAGACTCCAGCCTATAGACATATGATTGACTCTTAACTGGTCTCAGAAATGGCTGAGTAAGCCACACAGTTCAAGGACCGATAAGGATAATAACATAACGCAGACCTCAAAGATGCCCACGTGGCATGCAAAAGAAGTTTCAATTTAGGAACTTTAAAGAAATGCTGTTTCTTTTCTTCATTCTTTCAGAGGATGTGGGCATCACTGCCAGCATTAGCATTTGTTGCCCCAGCCTAATTGAACCGAATAGCAGGTTGGGCCATTGAAAAAGACAGTCAACCTCAAGACCCAACCACAATGCTGAGGATTTGGAGTCACATGTAGGTCAGACTTGGTAAGGTCAAATAACGACAGCCCTAAAGGACATTAGAGAACCAGACTGATTTTTTTATAAAATGCTGTCTTAGTCCCCATTACTGAGACTTGATTATAATCCTACATTTTATCATTTGAATTTTTTTTTGAGCCCCAGTCCGTAGGGAATTTATTTGGTTTTCCTGATTACTGGTTCAGTGAAATTTCCACGGCATTACTGTCTCCCCGTATGCTGGAGTTTTACATAATTGCCAGTCTTGCATACAAATTCCATTTCCCTGTACACTACATGAAACATTTGTGGAGATGTGATTGCTAGAACCAAAGTTTGAGCTCAAAAGGACCCACAGTTATGACTCAAACCTTCCACTGCATGTATGCATGTGGTTAAACTTATAATTCAGTCATAGTACAGTGGAGCTCACTTGTAGAGCTTTGAGTGTTGCAAGTCTTTGTTACATGTCAACGAATCCACTGATACATAAATCTAGTCTTTGTTCAGCCAGTCAATAACAGCACCTGAGTGCCTTTTAATCAAACGGTCTGCTTCACTTACAGGAGTTGTTATTGTGAAAGTGTACACAGGACGCAGCTTGAGATTTAGTACTGGTCTCTGTCCCTCTTGCTCAAACTGGATTCAGTAAACATATCAATTAGGAACAGAGGTTGGCCTTTCGGCCCCTCAAACTTGCTCTACCATTGAATAAGATCATGAATGATCTGCTTGCGTTTTGAATTCTAAATTCCTATCCTTCCCTGATAACTTGATTCCCCTGCCTAACAAGAATTTGTCCATCCCACCTTAAATATATTCAATGACTCTGCCTCCACCGTCTTCTAAGGCAGAGTGTTCCAGATTACATAACCCTTCGAAAAACATTTGACACATCTGTGGTCTTTTCACATCAGTCTTGTAAAGACTATTCAGAAATTACACTTCGATCAAGCCACATTTCGCTCTTGAGAGTGGCAGTCAGATCAAGTCCAGTCTTGATCCAATCTTTTCCCACAAGACAATCCATTCGTTCCAGGCATCTATCAATCTAAATTTACTCTGAACTGCCTCTAATGCATTTACATCTTACCTAAGGAGACCAAAATTGCTCACCAACGACCTGTATCGTTGAAGCGCAGCAGTCTTATTTTTATGTTCAATTCTTCCTGTAATAATTAGCCTGATTACACGCTGTGTCTGCATACTAACATCTTCTTACTCATGCATTTGGCCACTTGGATCCCTCTGCACCTCTGAATTCCACAGCTGTTCTTTGTTTATATAATACTGTACATTTTTATTCTTCCTGGAAGGTGAACAACTTCACATTTTCCCACATTGTACTCCATCTGCCAGAAGTTCGTCCATTGACTCAACCCATCTGCAATTATCGTTGTGTCTTCTTCACAATACACTTTCCTACCTACCTTTGTACTATCTGCAAGTTTAGCTAGAATGTCTCTGTCCTCTCATCCCAGTCATTGCAATAAATTGTTAGAAGTTGAGGCTCCAGTACAGACTCTTGCAGCACACCACTCATCACATTGTGCCAATCAGAGGACGACCCAACTGGGCATTACTCCGTATTTTTCTGTCAGTCAGCCAATCTTCTATCCATGCCGATTTACACCATGAGTACCTACTTTGCATAGTAACATTTTGTGAAGCAACTTGCCAAATGCCTTACAGAAATGCATCTATGGGCATGTTACCCCTTCAAACAGCTCCAATACATTGGTTAAACAAGACTTTCCTTTCACACAACCATGTTGATCCCTCCTGAGATAGGCTGGGACTTTTTTCACTGGAATACAGGGGGTTGACAGGCGACCTTATAGAGGTTTTAAAAATGATGAAGGTTATAGATAATGTGAATGGCAGGTGTCTTTTCCCTAGTGTGGGGGAGTTCATGACTAGGGGGTATGTTTTTAAGGTGAGAGAGGAAAGATTTAAAAAAAAGACATGAAGGGCAATTTTTTTTTTTTTTTTTTAGACAGACAGAGACAGACCTTCCAGAGGATGTGGTGTATGCAGGTACAGTTACAATGTTTAAAAGACATTTAGACACGCATATGAATAAGAAATGTTTGGAGGGATGTGGGCCAAGTGCAGGCAGGTAGGAATAGTTCAGTTTGGAATGTCTTTGGCATGGACTGGCTGGATCGAAGGGTCTGTTTTTGTGCTGTACGACTATGATTACTGAGGAAAAAATCAAAATGCTCAACCTTAAGCACTTTAATGATTGATTCAAACATCTCACCCATGATATATTTCAAGCTAACTGGCCTAAACTCACCTGTATTGTCTCCCTCCCTTCTTGAATAGAGTTATATTTGTTGCTTTCCAGTCTGGTGGAACCTTAGCAGAACCAAGCTAATTTTGGAAAATTAACACCAACACTTCTACTTGCATTCTGGCTACATCTTTTTAGAGCCTTTGATCAAGTCCATCAGATCCAGAGACATGTCAGCCCCCCGCTCCATCAGCTTTCTCAGTTCCACTTCCCTAGTGATAATAATTTCATCACCTTTCTCTTCTACCTCTTGATTCACAGCCATTACTCAGATTTATTTTGCATCCTTTATTGTGCAAATGGAAATCAAAAACTTATTTGTTTCATTTGCCATTTCTTTGTTATTTACTATTAACTGCTGATTCTCACTTTCTAGAGTACCAACATTTGCTGTACTTAATCTTTCCTCTTTAAATAACTGTAAAAACATTTGGTATCCATTTTCACATTCCTAGATAGTTTCTTCTCATGCTACAAACTTGCCCTCTTGATTAGTTGTAGAGTCATAGAGCTGTGCAGCATGGAAACAGACCCTTCGGTCCGACTCATCCATGCCGACCAGATATCCTAAATTAATCTAGTCCCATTTGCCAGCATTTGGCTTACATCCATTTGAACCCTTTCTATTCATATACCCAGCCAGATGCTTTTTAAACTTCATAATTGTACCAGCCTCCACCACTTCCTCTGGCAGCTCATTCCATACGTGCACCACCCTCTGCGTGAAAAAGTTGCCCCTTAGGTCCCTTTTAAATCTTTTCCCTCTCACCTTAAACCTATGCCCTCAAGTTTTGGACTCCCCTAGCCTGTGGAAAAGACCTTGACTATTCACCCCATCCATGCCCGTCATCATTTTACAAATTTCTAAGGTCACCCCTCAGCCTCTGACACTCCAATGCTCCAGGAAAAGTAATGCCAGCCTATTCAGCCTCTCTCTATAGCTCAATCCCTCCAAACGCAGCAACATCCTTGTAATCTTTCCTGAACCCTTTCAAGTTTAGCAAGCCACCTCTGCCATTCTTTAGATTCTGTCCAGTCTCACCACTCATCCTTGCACAATTCTATACCTTTGCTTTAACTTTGATGCTTTCCTGGACTTCTTCAGTTAACCACTTAACATGCATTGTCCCCTTACAATTTTTCTTCATCATTTATAAACTGACTTTTAAAATTCATTTGGATGTGTGTAGACATTATTGACATGATCAGCATTTACTGCCAATTGCTAATTACCCTTGAGATGGTGGTTTTGAGCCACCTTATTGAATTGGTGCAGTCTAGATGGTGGAAGTACATCTACAGTGCTGTTAGGAAGCAAGTTCCAGGGTCCTGAACCAGCAATGACAAAGGAACCCAAATACGTCTCCAAGTCAGGAAGGTGCAAGACTTTAAGGGAGACTTGACAATAACAGTGTTCCCATGTGCTTGCTGTCTACTGCAACACACATAGCACTACGTGAATTCAGTGAAAAAGCAACTATCAATGGAAGGAAGGAACCAAAGTTGAGGGATAGGCCACGTAGTGCAGTCTGGTGGAGACTTCCACTTACAAATGCTGTTAGTGCCTGAGGAAGGGGTGGAGAGCAAAAGGGTTGAGCAATTTTCCACTAGGAATTAGAAGTTTAGTGTGCTAGCGAGAAAGGAGCATAAATTAGAGTGGGGAGACCTTAAAGAGAAAGCAACTCAACATTCCTTGCACCTTGGAGCACCCAATTCAAGAATAGCATCAGGAGAGGCCTAGAACTCCTGTCTGGTATTTCAAGCTGAAGCAACTGCACGTGGTCTGGGGGGATCCTGGGGAGGGAAAAGGAGAGTGCATTAAGCATGGGTGGTGAAGGAGAATAAGAATGAGCTGCACCAGCCATCTCCCATGTATATATTCACAGAGTGGGTCAGTTCATCCATGCCACGGTGAAAGGTGGTAGCTCGGCTGAGCTGCCGTAAATTAAGACTTGCGACCCCAGTTGCCGATTAATAATGTGCCATGAATTACTGAACATGCTGATTATCACTCACGTGGTTCGCATAAGTTCTGGGTTGGGTACACACTGCAGTCGATGTGAAAGGAGCTGGAATGCTTTGCTCTGGGGCAAAAGCATAAGTAGTCCATACAGGGCTTTGATCAGGTAGGGATTGTTCTCAACGTCAAGGAGTTGCAACCGCAGATCTGAAGGGAAGAATAGGAAATAAATCAACAACATTTCACACCAAATCCCTCACAAAGCTAGTAGCAGAGAAGGTTTGAGGAATGACTTAAAGAAGGAAAGAGGAGCAGTGAGTACAGAGGCTTAGGAATAAACACAGAGAATGCTGGAGAACTCAGCAGGTCAGGTAGCGTCTGTGGAGAGAGAATCAGAGTTAATGTTTCAAGTCCAGACTGATTCTTCTTCAGAACAGAGCTAGTAATCAGCGGTGGAGCTGGAATTGCAGCTATCCGTGGATCGGTCACACTATCTTCTCACTCAACAATTGTTTTAATCCCCTTATCTCTGGGGGAAAAAAAAAATCATCTTTCATTCCTAATTTAAGCAAGTTGCACTAATGAGGGACTGCAAGCCAGGCATGTAGACAGTGCCTGCAGACCTCAAGTTGCACAATGAATTTAAGCTTCATCCTTGTGAAATTACACACTGGGGCAAACAGTGAAGCTCCAACTCACACTGAGGGCCCAGCTCCAAGTGTAAAACAAGGACAAATGGCCTTTTTTATTTAGTGGGAGAAGAGGAGCAAATTTCCAATATGTCAGGAAATAGAATTTTTAATAATGTCAGTTCACTGCTCTGTTGAAGGTGCTGACTCTGATTGGGGAAGTGTATCACTCACAATGCAGAGTTATTGACGGGGCAGGGGGGAACAGGATCGTTGGCTGACACTCTACATGGCAAACCAGGCTTCATGACTATGTACTAACTTGGGGCAGATGGGGTAACACTTCACATGTCCATGTACTGGAATTCATGCACAAAGCAGCTGTTGCAAGCAACGTTTCATGTTGAATTTTTCACACGCTTCATAGGAGTCAGAGCTTTTAAGTCACATCCTAATTTGGTTACGTTCCCAGTTTCATGCAGCTGCCAGTCAGCAATTGTTACTTCTGCCCCATTTCCTGATGCAACATCACATCCACATCTGGTATTCCAGTACAGTATGTGGGAACATGAAGTGCTGTAAATGTTTACTTACACGTGAAGATTGGACACTCGATCAACTGCACCAGCTTGTCCACCTCAGTCAGGAAATCAATGGTCACCTCAAGGTCCCCACTGGTCTAACAGTCAAGGTAAATGGCAATGACAGAAATGAAACTTGACAGCATGGGAATTGGAACAGAAATGATTTATGACAGCAGAGATCCAATAGGAAATACAAGAAATAAAAGAATGTGCATTTATATATAAAGCAGGTGATTACATCCTCATGATGTCTCAAAGCATTTTATTGTTCATAAATTACTTTTCAGGTGTTGTGCAGGAAAACATAGCAGCCAACATATGCTCGTTTCTAAAAGAATTAAGTTAAAGAATGACCGTATAATTTTGTTGGGGGTTGTTCGATGTACAGATATTCAACAGGCAACAGATAGAACTAACTTGCCCTTTTTTGAATGGTGCTAAGAGGCCTTTTGTATTGACATGAGCAGACAAGCAGAGCCTTGTTTTAAAGACTTGCCTGGCAGCTGGTGCCCCTGATATGCAAAAGGACATTGTATGACCAGTCTTGATGTTGTGCTCAAGTCTACAGTGGGTCTTGAATCAAAGGTTTTTCACGTGTACCTCTGGAATTGAATCTTTTGTTCTTTTAATTCACAATAGATACGGTGATGCAGTGGACGAGCAACCCAGACACTCTATTCAGATTCCAAATAAAGTATTGTGATTGACATTTTGTCATCAAAATGCCATTGAGAATCCACTATTTCCTGTTTGGTTTGACCAACTTATGTGTCAGGATCATACTTACGGAATGGATTCCAAATGGCTTTACACGACATTACAATCACAATAAAGCAGCTCACACCCAACCACCCTCTCAAGACAAGGACGACCAATATCCTGAGCACTAATAGCAAAGACTAGCAGTTGAAATGTTCAATATTTTCAACTAAACCAGACTGAAGCAATGGTATTTCTGAACATCCATGCTTATTGACCAGTTCTTCGCAAAGCTTATCCAGCTGGATAAAGCATTCTATTTGATGTGTTAGGTATCATTTTAACCAGTTGCGTGCAGTCCCACCCCCAGGTCTGCCAATGTTGTTGGGCACTGTCAGCTAAACTTCACTGACAACCAATGCGGTCTGTTTGAGATGACAATGGAACAAAGAGCTGGATTTCCCTGTTTTGATACATAAACAGTTAGCCCTGTTGGGTACATGCAATAAGGTTCACAACATTAAGGGACACCCTTGTTAGGGCTGAAACGAACACCAATCAAGGTCAGAAAAGATGCACTTGGCTCAGGAACATAATAATGTTTGACATCTCAAGCCAGAACCTTCAGGAAGAGCTGCTGGAAAGGCAATCCTGCAATTAAACATCTTGATATTTAAAAATGCATTGTGGTCATGCCATTATCGCAAAGGCAGAAGAAAATATCTAAAATAATTTGCCATCTCCTGTGGCCCATGCGATTTATTTTATTCACCTTTGGGATGTAAGCATTGATTGCAAGGCATAATTACCTTTATGCAGCGCTGCAGTCCATGTGATGCAAGTGTATCACACAGCTGTCAGATTTCAGCATCATGACTGAGCTACAATGAAGGAACAGCAATATATATCTAAGCCAAGGTTTGACAACCTGGGAGAGGAATTTGCAAACAGTGGTGTTCCCATGTATGCCCTTGGCATTCTAAGGTGGCAATGATCATTGGTTTAGCACAGGGGTGCAGGTGCCACTGTGGAAAGTTACTGCAGACCATCTTGCACATCTTCAACACTGTAGTCAGGTTATTTGTGTGGCCTGCCTAAAGGGGCACTTGGAATTGCATAGGGGATTAAATTCAATGATTCACTCCTCAAAGAGCCACATCAAGCACAAAATGAAGAGTCCTTTATAAACAAAGGAATTAAATTAATTGCTTAACATACCTGCGATTCAACATGAATGGGGCAGCCATAGAGTCAGATGACATGTACAGCACGGAAACAGACCCTTCCAACTCATCCATGCTGACCAGATAGCCTAAATTAATCTAGACCCATCTGCCAGCATTTGGCCGACATCCCACTAAACCCTTCCTATTCACGTACCTATCCAGATGCCTTTGAAATGTTGTAATTGTACCAGCCTCCACCACTTCCTCTGCCAGCTCATTCCATACACGCACCAGCCTCTGCATGAAAAAATTGCCCCTTAGATCCCTTTTAAATCTTTTCCCTTCAACTTAAACCTATATCCTCCAGTTCTGGATTCCCCTACCGTGGGGACAGAACCTTGACTATTCATCCTATCCACGTCCCTCATTATTTTGTAAACCTCTAAGGTCACCCCTCAGCCTCTGACACTCCAAGGAAAATAGCCCCAGCCTATTGAGCCTCTCCCTATACCTTGGGAGCATCCTTGTAAGTCTTTTCTGAACCCTTTCACGTTGCACAACATCTTTTGTATAGCAGTATTGTGAATGTGCCTATAGTTGACTGCTACCCATGCACTTTTGACTCAGAACAATAAGCACTATCATGTTTATACTATCCCTGCTGTTGAACTACAGTACATAACACATGGCTGAAAAATCTCACTCACAATTTGCCCCATGTTGAGAGCTCTGTTTACTGCCCATGTACAAAGAAGAAACAGAAGGGGGAATGGTCAGCATCCAGTGTGATCAACAAGAGAGTAAATGCCAATCAGCTGACAAAATGCCAGTGGACAAGCAATTGACAAATTTCTTGTTGACTAGTATATTATATTAAACACTGCTGCTCTCCATCTGTCCATTCTCTTTGTGTAACACAATTGGGTCATCTGATGCTCAAGGCTAAACTCTACCAGGAGGTGGTTAATTGCACAGTAGAGTTCAAAGTGAACGCCCCTTTCAGATAAAGAATACATTTCCACTTGGACAGGCCAGGGAAAGAGTTGCTTGTTAGACACCCAACAATATAGTGAGATGGTGCCAGCTCAGTCTTGACTTCGATGCCAATCCAATCCATATATTTCACAGTCATTGAAACAATAAATTCAGAGGAAAGGTAATGCCTGCAATGCTACCCTGACATTGGTACGCTCAGTTAGCTGGATGGCTAGTTCGTGACATACAATGTTGCCAAAATCATAGAATCCCTACACAGTGGAAGCAGGCCATTCGGCCCATTGAGACCACACTAACCCTCCGAACAGCATCCCACTCGGACACTCCAACACATCCCTGTAACTCTGCATTTCCCACGCTAATCCACCTAGCCTGCACATTCCTGGACACTATGTAATTTAGCACGGCCAATCCACCTAACCTGCACATCTTTGGACTGTGGGAGGAAACCCATACAGATATGGGAGAATGTGCAAACTCCACACTGACAGTCACCCAAGGGTGGAATCGAACCCGAGTCCCTGGCGCTGTGAGGCAGTACCACTGAGACACCGTGCTGCCTGTGGGTTCAATTCCTATAACAGCTGAAGTCACCATGAAGGCTCTGCCTTCTCAACCCTGCCCTTTACCCGAGGCGTGGTGACGGCTCATGTTCATTTCACTGCCAGCCATCTCTCTCTAATGAGAGAGCTGCCCAGTGGTTCTCTGGGACTACGACGACTTTCACTTTTCGCAAAGAAAACCCACCTCAGCACAGGCAAAATGCCCCAACACTCAATCCAAAAATGAAACAATCCTGAACAAACAGGAAATATCTGTGACAACCTCTGAGCAAAGGCTTTAGAATATGAGGTAGGCCTCACCCTCCACAAAGCTTTCTGCATGATTACAATAATTAATCACAGTTCACTTACTGCCCTTTATTAACGCTACATTCTATTCTCTACAATAACCAAGGCTCTAAAGGTGTAGAAAAATGTCACAGTTGGTTGTGTACAATATTAATCTTCTCCCTGCTTTCAACTGAAATGTTAAAGATGAAATTGTGAAGAGGAATTGGAACCAGATGTGAGCCATCATGCCCGAGAGCACAGTCATGTCACCTTAAAGCTACTTCATTCCATAAACCATTACAGCAAGCACCATACACTTTAGAAATTCTGCTGCCTGGGCAAACATTTCACTTCAAAGCAAGATTTCTAACTTCACAATCAAGCCCAAGGCAAGAACTACTTCCAAAAACTGCTGTGATTGCCTAGCTTCCTACTTACCACCAAGGGCCTGCAGTAAATAGAACAAAACTTGGATTAATATAGTGCCATTCCCAATCTCAGCTGCTTTACGAAAAATATATATTTATATTGCTCCTTAAAATGTGATCTAGTAGTCCAAAACACTTCGTTGGACCACAATAACGCAAAATATTCACAGAATCCCATAAGGAGACACTGCTTTAGTAGCCAACTGTTGGTTAGACAGATAATTTTTGAGGACTGTCTTAAAGGAGGACGGTGCTCTCAAGGATTTTAAACAGGTTAAAGGACTGGGGGGGAAGATCAGGAGGGGGACAGAGAGTACGGAAAGGGTCAGGAATCTAATTTCAGAGGACAGCAGTCAATGCAAGATCCGAGGGTGTTGTACTCAAATGCATGCAGCATATGAAACAAGGTTCATAAGCTTGTAGTAGATTGAAATTGGCGGTTAATGATATGGTGGGTGTCAGGCGATCAGGGCTGGGAACTAAATATCCAACGGTTCGCATCCTATTGAAAGGACAGGCAGATGGGTAGATGGGCTGTCTTATAAACATATGGATGATAATGGAATAGTTTAGGTTAGATGGGCTTCAGAATGGTCTCACAGGTCGGCGCAACATCGAGGGCCGAAGGGCCTGTACTGCGCTGTAATGTTCTATGTTCTATGTCTATGTTAGTCAGAAATGAAATTTAAATCAATAGCAAGAAGCAATGTTGGGTCGGAAGGTGTAGAATCTGTGCGGGTAGAGTTGAGGAACCACAAAGTAAAGAAGACCCTGCTGGGAGTTATGTACTGGCCTCTGAACATTAGTCAGGATGTGGGGAAGAAAATAAATCAGGAGATAGAAGAGGCATGTAAGAAAGGCACCAATACAATAATCATGGGGGCCTTCAAAATGCACTTCGGAGGGTTGGTGCAGATTCGATAGGTTGAATGGCATCTTTTGCACTTAGGGATTCTATGAACATGTGA